GCTCCCCTAATTTTTAATTATATCTATTTCAAAGCTTTATTCCAGGTGGCTGCAACCTACTGGGTAGACTAGCCACCTTACGTTACCCTAACAGTTCTAGATTAAAATTAAAAAAATAAAGTGAAAATATGAGAAGAAGTCAAAGTTGGACTCTGTAAAAGGTCGGGTAAGAAAATCGTGGGTGGAGGCTCCGATAAAACCGAATATCTCTCCCGAATATGTATTCCCTTTTTTACTTGTTTATTATTATTATTTAACAAAAAATCAAAATTGAAATTCAAAGACGTAACGATTTCAAATTTTCTGTGTGCAAAAAAGTGGAAATATTTTCACTGCAACGCTTTGTTTAAGAATTTGAGGAATTGGAGTTGTTTGATAGCTTGACGACATGAGAAAGAAGCTAGATACTCGTTTTCCAGCCGTAAGTCTACGCTCTCACCCTCTCTATATGTGTATGTAAGTATTAATTTTGGTTATTAAGATTAATTGAGTCGTTTGTTCTTCATACTGGATAATCAATTGAAAAACAATGAAGTTGATTTTGGTTTTGAAGATTAATAGATTCGTATGTAGCTTTATGTAGGGTAATTAGTTTAATAAATGAAATATAATAAAATTAAGTTTATGCCGAATGCCTTTTTTCCTTTTAATTTTTAAGATAAGGACGTGTTTTTGTTAATTAGAAAACAGTATTTTACAGTTAAAGTGCCTAAGCGCCTAACTTCTGTCAGAAGCTTTATGGAGTGGAGGTTATTTGTGCGTTCATATTTTTATTAGTGATTAATTTTCTTTGCATAGTTAGGGTTAGCGTAGGTCTTCAGCTGAATGAGAAAGTGGGGAGGAAAAGAAAATTGTGTGCTTAGTGAAATATCTAAAAAAAGTTCATTTTAATTGGTATTTTTCCAATCAGTTTTTAATTGATTATTCATGTAAGCATATCTGTCAATACACTCCAATGCAAGCAAACATAGCCAAGTTATGTATTCCTTTTTTTTTTCCCTGAATTTTGCTCTTATTTTTTGTTTGATGGTTATATTAATCTGCATAATTTCCTGTCCATTGAAGCCAGTAAAACTAAACCTCCACAGCAATATAAGCTTTCAATGTGTTTTACAAAAGGTGAAGGAGATAGTAGTTTTTCTAGATAGACTTGCCATTAAATCATGTCACAGTTTGAGAGGGTGATTTTACTGTCCGGGTTTCAAAACTTCTTACGGTTTTTGACGTATTACTATGGTAATAAATTCTGTACCGGTTGAGAAATTAGGAAACCAGATATTATCTAAACGACTAACTCTAGATGAATTGTTTCTTCGTCTCATTGAAACTTCATTTTGCAGGCTCGTATAAAGAAGATTATGCAAGCTGATGAGGACATAGGGAAGATTGCTATGGCCGTACCGCTCTTAGTCTGTACGTGATTTCAATAATCCAGCTGTGTTTCTTTTTTCAAATTGTTCGGAGATATTAAATCACGGAATTGATCTTCTTGTGTTGTTGTTTTTCATTCTTTTTTCAGGATTTGTTGGTTTCTTCTGATTTAAAACTTTATTCTGGTTATATGCAGCTAAAGCCCTCGAACTATTTCTGCAAGATCTTTGTGACCGGACTTATGAGATTACCCTAAAAAAGGGGGCAAAAACTTTGAATTCTTTACACTTGTAAGTTCTTCTGAAAGTTCCTGTCTTTTGATGTGGATTGGAGATACATTGTGCATATGTCCTCTCTCATGATCATTTGACTATATCCTTGCTTTTCTCAGGAAGCAATGTGTGCAGAGCTTTCATGTGTTTGATTTTCTAAAGGACACCGTCAGCAGGGTTCCTGATTTAGGTGCTTCAGATGCTGCTGCTGAGGATAGATCTGCTGCCAAAAGAAGGTTTGTGAAGCTATAAGATTCTTGCTTATTTGTTATGATATTTGAAAATTGAGATTAAAATTGCATATATTTTTCTCATACAGGAAAATCTCCGAAGATGAAGAAGATGGCAATGACGATGAGTCAAAAAAGGCTAGAGTGGTAAGCTAATTTTTTATATTGATATATCTTGAATTTGGTGTCAAATAGTATGATTTGCTTCCCATTCAAAATTTGTTGAAAAAATATATAATTCCAGCAACGAAAAACAGAAAAATATACAAAGCTTTCAGGTTTTATTCTTCAATTTGACACCACCGCCTACTTCTAATCTTCTATTTTTAACTTTTCATTTGGAGTTTGTACTAAAGATGAGAATATAATCGACACCCTTCATTTAGGTTCTTGAATTGTAGAGATTACTAAAAAATTCTGGAGAAAATTATGGGTGTTCAGATAGGGATGATATCTTAGGGGGTTTGAAATATATCAATTTTGATTTTCTGGTAGGCATTTGTAACTTTTGAGAAATTAGTCACTATAATTTTCGAATATGTTTCTACTTGTAACATTGGAACTTGGTAATTGTTTCTCGGAAACATAAAATTAATGTTTGTTCACCTTGACTTCATATCCCCCTCCCAAAATATTAAAATTAAAATTAAAAAAAAAAAAA